ATAGTCTGCAGAGGCATTCCAGAAGTAACTATTCCAGTTTGTTGTTAGTTGAGTGAAAATTGGAATTTTCGCCCTTTGGGAAATTCCAATATTTTGCCATTTGTTTTCATCCTGAATTGGGATACAACATTGAAATAACAAAACTTTTCACAGAACTAAAAGTTCTTTTAAAAAAAATGGAAATTTAGAAACACTTTGTTTTAAAATTTTTGATTGGAACGAAACATTTTGACATTCCCAAATCAAAATGTTTTTTTTTAGTTTGTTGAACTGAATTAAAATGTTTAAGTATTAATCTGTGTGTACTAAGGTGCCACAGTACCTCATGAGAGTTGTAGTTTGGGTCCCTTTGGCCCCCATTCTCTCCTATGGGCTGGGGTCCCTGGTAGGACTATTATCTCCCATGGTGCACTTGTAGTCATGTGATTCCTGTGACACACCATGTGGCTGAGTCAGAGAGAAGACAGGGGTGTATCATGGAAGATGTAATCTGGCAAAAGAGCCCAGTCCATAGGGGAGAATAGGGACATGAAGTACCCAAACTACTACTCCCATGAGGCATTGTGGCACCACATGGAAATACAATTTAATGTTGAACTGACTCAAAATGAAATATTTTGTCTCTTTCCCAAAGGAAAATTTCAGCAAAAACAAAGTTTTCCCTTGAAAAATTTCACATCCTAACTCCCATTGTAGGCTCAGTTAGGTTGATGGAATAATTTTTCCATCACCCTAGCGACTGCCTCTCGAAGGGATGGACTTACTACAGTGAGGAAAAACCCGTTCTGTTGCTGAAGCAACTGTGCTGCAGTACTACAGTGGCATAGCTGCAGCACTGTGCCCTGTAGCGCTGCTTGTGTGGACATATCCTTGGTCATGAACAGCAAAAGGTAACAAGTGAAAAAGAGAAGAGAGACAGGTATATGGAATTATACTCTTTTTCATTTCAGGATGTTAGCGTATGGCCCAATACAATAAGTAGAAAAAAGGCTCTATTTGCTATTACCATTCTTCTAGACTGCCACGTATCTGAACACCAGGCAAAAATTTGTATGACACAATAGTTGACCAAATGTGTTGCAGTCCAGTAATGTGACATGTGCCCCTAAGCTCCCATAAACAACAGAATATATTCACATCTAAAATAACTGGTGCTGGTAAAAAGAATTCTGATTTCTGCTGATAATTCTGAAGTTGAGAAACTGACCAGATTTCCTACTATGTTCCCACCCCCCCTTCAGCACACTGCAGGCATAGAACAGCTTCCATTGGCACCACCATTCTGCCACTGTATTGTTCATTGATCTGTGTCTGTGGGGTTTGTTTCTCAAGCATGTGTAAACAGACTGTAACATAAAATTGTGATGGGTTGGGTCACAGAAAACCCCTTGGGAACTGCCACCTGGTGTGCTGAGACTACCCCTGAGCCCATTTTCCCTGCCACCTTGGGTCTCCAGAACCTTGCCTGTTTGAGCCAGACACGCTAGCCTGCTGCAAACCTAGACTCAGGTCTGAACAACGTCCCCAAAAAGCTGCAGGCTTAACTGAAAACAGTTTAAGAAGTGTTCCTTTCTCCAACACTCAGATGCCCAGCTCCCAATGGGGTTCAAACCCCAAATAAATCCGTTTTACCCTATATAAAGCTTATACAGGGTAAACTCATAAATTGTTCGCCCTCTATAACACTGATAGAGAGATATACACAGTTGTTTGTGCCCCCTGCCCCAGGTATTAATACATACTCTGGGTTAATTAATATGTAAAAAGTGATTTTATTAAATACAAAAAGTAGTATTTAAGTTGTTCCAAGTAATAACAGACAGAACAAAGTTAATTACCAAGCAAAATAAAATAAAACACGCAAGTCTAAACCTAATACAGTAAGAAAGTGATTACAGGTGAAATCTCACCCTCAGAGATGTTCCAGTAAACTTCTTTTACAGACTAGCCTCCTTCTAGTCTGGGTCCAGCAATCACTCACACCCCTGTGGTTACTGTCCTTTGTTCCAGTTTCTTTCAGGTATCCTTTGGGGGTGGAGAGGCTATCTCTTGAGCCAGCTGAAGGCCAAACAGAGGGGTCTCCTAGGACTTTATATAGACTTTCTCTTTTGGGTGGAGACCCCTCCCGCCCCTTGTATAGAATCCCAGCTACAAGATTGAGTTTTTGGAGTCACATGGGCAAGTCACATGTCCATGCGTGACTCATTTCCTTACAAGTGGCAGCCATTGTTCACATGCTACCTTGAACGTCCTCAGGTAGACTTCTTATGTGGATTGGAATCTTCCAAGATCCATTGTCCGTTAAGTGTTTTTTGATTGGGCACTTAACTTGCAAATTCCTTTCTAAAGAAGCTGACCAAATGCCTTACTAAGGCTACTTAAAATCAAACAAGTACACAGCCAATATTCATAACTTCGAATACAAAAATGATACATGCATACAAATGGGATGAATATATTCAGTAGATCATAACCTTTGTAGAGATCTGTTACATGGCATATGTAGCATAAAACATATTCCAGTTATGTCATATTTACATTCATAAGCATACTTCCATAAAGCGTTATGGGGTGCAACATCACAAAAATGATTTGTGAAAGACTGATAGGGTGGAGGTATCTGAGATTTTGATGGCCTGTTGGAAGATGGCACATTAGCATGGACCTAGTGATTCCCCAGCTTTTAGCACTACAGTGCTAAAATAAACCTTTTCAGGATTCTTTAAATTCTATGGTGCCAGCTAGACTGGACTATTGCTGAACAGCATTTAATAGCTCTTAGATGACAATGCTTTATCACTGTGCATTGTTTAGGCATCTGCCTGGAACTTCAACACACATATTAGAGATTTCTGTGTTCATATGTGATAAACACCAACGTACGGAATTGTAAGGGATGTAAAGGACCTCAAAGGAGAGATCATTTTTTAAAGCATTTGACACTCTCTTTTCTTGTCCTATATGCAAACTGCAGCTGTAATTAGGGTTTTAATTATAAAATGCCCATGGAAGTGCTCACAAATGCTTTAAAATATATTTTCAAACATAATAAAGCAAACCACATATATGCCAGATATAATATTAAAAAGACACTGTCAAGTAAAAACTTGTACATTGGGAAAAAAATCTATTTATTTTGCAGATATTTAATTCTTAGCCCTTTTATAGCACATTTCATCCATTGAGCTCAAAGTTTTACAAAAGGACGTCAGTATCACGAGCGCAGCACGTTTTCCCCCCAGCTGTGGGAACTGAGGAACAAAAAGGTGAAATGATGTACCTAAATTCATCCAGAAGGCCAACTGCAGAACTGGGAATAGAACCCAGGTCTTTTGAGCATAGATTTTAAAAAGTGACTCTTAAAATCTAAATTGCTTTTCACTATTAATGCTGTTTGCTTCATATTTACATTTCTCCCAGTTTGGGCAATTAAGAGAGACGAGTTGGTTTCACTTTTCTGTATCATCTGTTTTTAGTTGATTTCAGTTTCTCCTGCATGCACTAGCACATGCTGCAATATTTGTGTTGCACATGCTTCAGGGGATTAATCACTAAATTGTGTCGTTATTGTTGAATTTGTTTTTTTTAATGTAATCGAAACATTTCAGTTAATCTTCACTTTGATAAAAGTAAGCCCTATTTAAACCTGATAGCAAACTTTTAGAAAAGCCAAATGGCATGACAGTAAGAAAAGAAGAGAGAAGGTTATTAACAGTGAGCCACAATGGTTAAAACTGAAAATGCCTCTGAAGAAGTAAAGTTTTCAGATGTGTTGAAGTGTCAATGGAAGGACTAAGGAGGATTCTCTAAGGAAGGCTGGTTCCTTGTCTTGGGGGCCACCATGGCCAAAGCTGCCATGATCCTCTGGTGGAATTCTAAAGGGGGGGACCCCAAAGAGTTGAAACCCACCCACATGAGACTCATGGTCTCAAAATATAGTTAGGCTCCCCTCACCTCTATTAATGTCTTTAAACATCAAACAGGAGCAACTTAAAATCAATCCCTTCATCTTATATAGACAGCCAGTGAAAAATGGATGCAAGCTCTTAGCTTTGTGTCACTGATAATTTTGTGCCCAGTGTGGCTTTTTATTAGGCATAGAATATACGGCTGAAGATACTGAACAAGCACTTCTGACTGAAGTGGTGAATTTCTTGTACATCTTCGTTGGTCTTTATGCATATTTGGTGTTTTGGAGCTCTTAGCCCACTATGTGACTATACAGTACAGCTCTGCATCTCATTTAAAACTGGGTGATCCTTAATGCATAAAGAGAGGCCTGGCTTCAACAGTAACATAAAATGCTTTGATGAAGGGGTTATTTAACCTGGCAAGCTGTTCAGGAGAGGGACCCCTGTCTATTTCTGTTTGTACAGTGCTTAAGACAATGACGTCTATTCCTGATTGGGGCTTTTGGGTGTTATGGAAATATAATTTAAAACATTAATAACTAAGCAGTTCTTTTCACTCCTTTTTTGAAGAATACTTTTGTTTTATTAAATCAATTCAAACACATTTCTTGAATGCTGAGGAAAGAAAAGGCAGAGCAAATGAAGGTGAAAGAGTATATTATTTAGAGACTTTGAAATCGAATAAACAAGAACAACAAAGGAAATATGAAACCTGAAATAAAATATTGAATTCTCTGGCAGAAGGTAAAATTTGCTGGGCACTGTGCAACTTCAGCTGACTATGGACGTTGCATGTAATAGAGCCAACAAGACAGACAGTCATAGGTCCTCAGAATTCTGCAGCGTTTCAGGAACTTGTCGACATTTATAAGTAAATATTACATGGCTGTATGTTTTATTTGTCATATTCTGACTGTCAAAGCTTGACTCAGCAACTTTCTTCCTTTTGATTTTGTGTTACAGCGTATTATTATGATTTTTATTGTTGTTGCTTCATGGGACATGTTAGTATATTACATTAAATTCCTTTGACTTCTCAGAGAGTTATGGCTGTCGTGTTTTATAGTGTAACTTTTCCATCCAATGCAGAAAAAATTCAATCAGGTTATTCAGGAACAGCAACAGTTAACTGAACAGTTAAAAGATGAAACTAACCAGAAGGAACAATTAAAGAGGATAAAGAATGAAATGGAAAATGAGCGATGGCAACTAGACAAGACTATTGAGAAGTTACACAAGGAGGTAAGGTTGCAGTTAAAAGAGGCTGCAGGACATAAGATATCTAATGGAAAAAAGCAAATAAACTGCCAAACTACAAAGAAAAGAGCTTAAAAGCAGTGTAAATGAAAGTGAAATGTGAACTTTGCTGTTAGTGTATTTGACCTGGTGACTATCAATAAAAGCTTTCTGGACTGGAACAGTAGTTGGTACTGTGCAATCTGAAAATACCATGGTAAAACACTCCTGTTTTGTTAAAATAAGATGCCATATTTGAGCTCTCTTCCATTATGTACAACAGACTCAGCCCTGGTCTACATTGGGTGGGGGGGGTCGTCCTAAGATACGCCGACTTCAGCTATGCGAATATCTTAGTATCTTAGGTCGACTTACCTGGCCGTGAGGACGGCGGCGAGTCGACCGCTGCCGCTCCCCCGTCGACTCCGCTTCCACCTCTTGCGAGCTGGAGTTCCGGAATCAACAGGGAGCGCGTTCGGGGATCGATTTATCCGTGTCAAGACGAGACGCGATAAATCGATCCCCAATAGATCGATCCCTACCCGACGATCCGGTGGGTAGTGAAGACCTGCCCTAAGTCAGTCATTGCTCAGCACAACCATCAGCTCGACTGCAGTGACTTGCAGCTGATTTCTCCAGCTGCAGCATTGTTGTATTAGTTTTGCCATCTATGTGTGAGCACACAGCTTAGTTTTGGTATGATAAAGTATTCAGTGAGGGCTTCATAGAATAAATTCTAATTTGTACAGGTTTAAATACAAGCCACATGTAAATGCTGCTGGCAGAAATAGGATGGTCTGGGATATGTATTGCCACACATTTTAGAAACACAATTTTAGAGTTGCATATTTTCAAACTGGTGCATAGAAATTCAGCTGGACATATACACCATTTTGAAAATGTTCTCTACACAGTGAATTATGTTCCTAATGTAACATAGGAGAGACTGCAGTTAGGAAGAAAAATATTCTTCTGTAGTACTAATGAAGACAGATTCCCTTCTAGCATTGCTTTACTCGTGGGGAATTTTACGTGTTTGTTTGTTTGTTTGTTTTTTGCCAGATGGCTGAAATTGTAGAAGTGTCCCGGTCATCCACTCTGGAGCTTCAGAACCAGCTTGATGAGTACAAGGAGAAAAATCGCAAGGAACTTGCAGAAATGCAGAGACAATTAAAAGACAAAAATCTTGAGTTAGAAAAATCACACCTGACAACCATGAAAATGCAGGATGAGGTACTGGCTCATAAATTGAATGACATGTTTAACCTTTGACCTAGAATCCTCCTCAGACAATTTTCAGGACAAAGAATCTTTGCTATCATGCTCTTGTGCACTTAATCACCATGCTTTTATGTTTGATTCTCCACGACGATCATCAAGGTGGTACTTCTACAAGGGCAATGGGGTTTACTGGATACAATAGATAAATGCAAAGTGTGTTTGATGAATTTATCAAAATGATATGATAAAGTTTCTGCTGAAGTTCTTTTGCTCTTTTAATATTGATTGCTGAAGGGAGAGTTGAGAATTTTGAAATAGCCTTGAATCAGAAGAAGATGGGGATCTATTATTTTTTTAAAAATACAACAACACAGCCTGGCTTTAGCTTTTTAAAGTAATTGTCATGGATGTTTGAGATGTTTCAGATTTAAATGACAAAGCTATTTGTGCAGCCCAGAATCAGCCACAGCCTTGAAGTCTGTCTTTTTAGTATGTAAATACCATAAAATTAGTCCGGCCTCTTTAAAGTTCTAAATACAGTTCTTCGTTATTTGGAAAACCTTTGAGAATAAACGGTCTATGGATGTCCTCAGTATATAAAATATATTTTAATAATTTGAGCTTCCAGGCCAGAACTTCTCCTTTGTTTCTCGTTCTCTTTGTTGAACTAGAGCAGGGCAAACTTTTTGGCCTGAGGGCTGCATTGGGTTTCCAAAACTGTATGAAGGGCCTGTTAGCGGAGGCTGTGCCTCCCCAAACAGCCAGGTGGGGCCCGGCCCTGCCCCCTATCTGACCCTTCCTGCTTCTCACCCCCTGACGGCCCCCCCGGGACTCCTGCCCCATCCAACCCCCCCTGTTCCCTGTCAGCCCCCGGGACCCCTGTCTCTGACTGACTGCCCCCCACCACCCCATCCAACCCCTGCTCCTTCCTGACTGCCCCCTGGGGACTCCTGCCCCCATTCAACCCCCCTGTTCTCCACCCTCTGACTGCCCCGACCCCATCCACACCCACGCCCCCTGACCACCACCCCGAACTCCCCTGCCCTCTATCCAACCCCCCCTGCTCCCTGCCCCCTTACCACACTGCCTGGAGCACCGGTGGCTGGTGGCGCTACAGCTGCGCCGCCCAGAGCACCAGGACAGGCAGCCGCACCGCCCAGCTGGAGCCAGCCACGCCACCGCGCAGCACAGAGCACCAGGTCAGGCCAGGCTCTGCAGCTGCGCTGCCCCAGGAGCTTGCAGCTCTGCCGCCCAGAGCATTGCGCCGGCGGCGGAGCAAGCTGAGGCTGCGGGGGAAGGGGAACAGCAGGGGAGGAGCCAGGGGCGCGCCTCCCAGGGCAGGAGCTCAGGGGCCGGGCAGGAGAGTCCCGCGGGTCATAGTTTGCCCACCTCTGAAGTAGAGTGTAAGTTAATAGAAAAAATATAACACAAAAAGGTTAGTTTGAAGGATTGCTGTACATTCTTCTCTCCTTTCCTTCCATATTATTTCCACTCAGCGAAGCGTGGTTTATGTAAAGAACTGAAGAGTCATAATGAAATTTGGAAGATAGAGAGTAGGATAGTGAGATCATCAATGTAACTTGGAATAAACTCTTCAAAGCAATCAGTATCTGTACTGAAAGATACTGTGTTTATTTGTTACTCGCATGTTGGTTATAACTATTACTGAAACTCTTTTTATAACTGCAAGCAGTCCACACAATCTTATGTTAAAAAAACTCCAGGCCCCCAAACAAAAAACCCAACCCAATATTATTCTACAAAAAGACTGTGGTAATTTTGTTTTAAACTGTGTTGCTATAGACTTTGACTGTAGAGTGCTGCATTATATTTCTATAAGTGAGTGTGTAAATTGTTAGGGCATGAAATGTTTTATTGTATAGCTAGCTGCACAAGATACAGCATAATCCTGAAATTACAGGAGAAGCTCCTCTCAGAAGAAGCATCCATATAATAGGTTTTATATTAAAATAAAACAAACTTCAGAACAATCAAATGTGTTTCTCTCTCTCTCTCTCTCTCTCTCTCTCTCATGTTGAGTGAGAAGTACAAATAAGCCTTCATGATCACCGTTTTCATTCAGTGAAATAGGTGTGTTGGCCATTCAGTTCCTTGTAGACAAGAATTCATATAGCACTTGGCATCCTTTTTGAGAGTCTCATCAGAAAGGCTGAGGACTGAATGAGCATGGAAACTAAATTATCCTCTTGCTCGTATTAGTGGTCCTCCAAATCAGTTTTGAGGTATGCGGGTAGGGCAGTATGAGAATTATTCATTACTGTTGCCCATGCTGTAGTTGGAGACATAAGACATTGGATTCTAGGGATGTCAGTCCAGTATAATTTGAAACACTGTCACATTCCAGGGTGCAATCCAGACCAGTGAGAGGTTGTCACTGCCTGCTTCATAATCTTGGGTGCCTCACAATGTTTTGCTGTTGAAGCTCCTAACCTGGGCTGCTCACAAACGGTCTTCCAGCGTGTAGGTCTATGTATAGTTGCAGCCCTGGTCCAGCAGGTCTGATTCCAGCATCCCGTCAGCAACACACCAACCAACACACTCCCTGTCTCGAATTTTCCAAAATTCTGCAATAGCCAGCCCGCTCCTGGACAGTTCAGATATTAATGTTCATTTCTCCTGTATGGAGTCAATATTCAACGGTTTGTTACTTTAACTGAAGTTACCAAAAAGTTCAGTTTAAACACAACACTGGATTGATTTAAAAAATAAAACACCATTTATTAACACAAGAAGATAGGATTTTAAATGACTTCAAACATAAGGAGTAGTTACAAATGGTTACAAGCAAATAAAAGTGAAAACGTGCATCTAAAAGTCCAAAACTTAATCTAGCAAGTTTTGGTTCAAGGCTTTGTTCAAGATGGCTTTTCTCACCACAGTCTCCCAGGATCATGATGACTGACCCTTTCCTCAGTCAGGATCTCTCTCAGAGGCTCAAATATGCTGGTGCCTTTGTTGTCTTAGGTGAAAGAGAGAGAACTTGGGGTTCTTGCCCCTTTCTTTTATAGTCCAGTGAACCTTTGAAGTGGATTCTTCTGCAGGTTACCCTTCAAAGTAGTTTATTCAAGTAGTAAAGAATGTCACAGGTGAAGGAGGCTCCATGCTCTTTCTTCCGCCAGGTGTGTCTACTGAAATCTAAATTGTTCTGTTTCCTGCCATCTCCTCCCCCTGCTCTCTTGCCAGCCCTGTTTACTACCTATATGTAAATTGAGGTGAACACACATTCCTTTGTTTAGGATAGGCCTGTTTGACAACTTTTGCCTAGGCAGGGCCGTCTGGTTTTGAACATGTGCTAATAACATCACACAGGGAGATTTCATAACTTTACTTATAATGTTGCTACATATATTTCACCATGATATTATTGACCAGCAAGTCATGAGTTTTCAAAGGATACCTCACAAGGCATATTTTGTACAAAAATTATTACAATCGTGTGTTGGATGTGAATACAGGGGTGCTTAGTGTCACACACTGGCATATAGCACACTGTATATTGAATGCTTCCTATTGGTATGCAGATAACTATCTTAGTAGCGCAGTATAATGTATGGCCTGTAATTATCCAGCCTTCTCTCACTTGAAAATAGCTCTGTAAATAATCTATAACCTGGTAATGCTCCATCACTGAGCTGGGTACTTCTTATATAAGTAACGTGAGGGAGAACTGAAAGTGAAACTCAGATCATGTGATAGGAGTTTGTGCACTCAAAGGTATATAACACCTAACAAATTAATCAGAGTGCCTCATCGCAGCACAAAAACTAAGAGCTTCATGCTAACTATACCTTTTAATGGGACTGTGTAAGCTTGAGTGAGAGAATGTAATGAAACACAGAACACGGTTAGGAGAGAAAACCCTCCTCCTCAAGAGATGTACCTCCTACTATATATGTATGGGGCTATAGTTTAATATATACAATAGCAATTATACCATAAATGTAATATTGTCATCAAAGTGTCTTAGTGCCAGAGCAAGGGGCATAAGAAAGCATCAATAAACTGTAGTGATGGTATGAAAAGCAAATAAACCTGATGGAAATAATTACCAAAGCTGTAATCATCCACAAAGCTGTAGGACAATTGGCTAAGAAAAAGATAATTAAGTAAAAAATCCAGTTTGTATTATTACTACAGTGAAACCTCTACGCTGAAGGTTATTTTCATATCTGAGAACTCTGATCCAAAGTTATTTACTTGGTGCCATCTTGTGGATGAAATAAAAATGACTCTAATACGCACATAATACTACCTACTTCCTCTCAGCCTGGTTTTTAATAACTTGTTTTTAAAGTCTTAGCAGAAGTGTAGCCCATTTACTGACATTACTGTTACAAAGAAATGTATTATAAATTGTGCCACCTGCCTTCTTGTTTCAGATGCGTCTTATGGAAGAGGATTTACGGGACCACCAGAGAGCCCAGGATGAGGCAATTACAAAAACTCAGCTGCTGGAACAAACTGTGAAAGGCTTGGAATATGAACTGGAAGCCAAAAATCACTTGAAAAGTGATCGGGCAAGACAAATGAAACTAATGGAGGTAAAAGGAGCTTTTGGATGGGGGGGTCCTTTGGATACTCGGTGCTTATGTATAGTACATTTTTTGCTAGAGATGATTGGAAACACTTAATTTTTTTACTGTGGTTGTGCCTTGGAAGCAACAACATAATTTCTTCTCATCTGATGGAAAAATCGACGTTAGGGCAGTGGTAATGCAAGAACTATTTTAGCATCTCCCAAAGGTGAGCATTCAGCACATCTAATAGGGCATATTATGTTCTGAATGGTAGTTATTTTGAGAGCTCTTTCAATACTTTCCTTTCTTTTTCTCATGTGACAAATGGAAGTTCTGACCAGTTACCCCTGTCGTTCTCCTTCAATTCATCAGGCACAAAAATCAGAAAGTTTTAACTCCTAGACACTTAAAACCTGAACCACTCCCAATGGAATCAGTGGGAGTCTTTGCAGTATCTTCAATGGGCACTGAATTAGGCCCTTGTCTTGCTTTTATAAATGGCCTCTTTTTATAGCTGTGAACAAATTAAAATTAATTTCTAAAGAAAACCCTCTGTTGTAGCACCACTAGGGTATTTCTGGAAATATTGTTGTTAAATTGTTTATTTTATATTATATATCTGCAATTTTTTATGCTCATGGAATTACTGTAAGTGTCCCTGACCAATGAATATTTAATAATAGGTAATTGGAAATTATAAGTCACCTTGTAATAGGCTTGCAAAGTACCTTCCCAATGGAATTTCTCAGACACTTTTTTCAGTTTATTCAATTTGTTACTGCAGTGAAAAGGGAAATCATGTTCAAACTGGAAGCTAGCTGTTGAACTGCACTGAAGAAAGCTATGTTCTGAAGTTACACTGAAGTTTTTTTTTTTTTAATAAAGAAGTTAATAGCAAACAGGCTATTAAACTCTTGTAGGCTTTTCTAGTCCAATAGAGATACTTTTTCCTGAGTTCTCTGCAAATTGTCACAGGGGCTGCACTTTTCAAACACCTTTCTGCCATGTTACGTGTGTGTGTGTGTGTGTTTTCAGACAAGTCGAGCCCTTGCAGTCCTAGAGAGAAATGCTCAGTAGCATTGTAAAGCGGATGAAGGACTAATCCATTGAACTACTTTTGTTTTTTCATTTAGGACAAGCTGTCCCAGTTGGAACTGGAGCTTGATGAAGAAAGAAACAATTCAGATTTGCTGTCTGAAAGGATTAGTAGGTGCAGAGAACAGGTACTTGACCAGTGAACAAAGTTTACTTTGCCCAACCGTAGTGTAGTGATGAGGAAGAAGAGGGTCACAAATAACTTTAATACATTAAATATCAGTCTTCAAGTTAGATGCTCATTGTATTGCATGCAAGCCAGATAGTAATTATGTTCAACAACAATAGAGCTTTCAGTGCAAGAATATCTTAGTCTCTTATGAATATTAATGAATTTAGTTTCACAACACCCTTGAGATAAGTAGTAGTATTTTGCATTTTACACATGGGAAAACTGAAACGAGAGTTTGTTTCCTAGTTCACCTATGAAGTCTGTGTCAGAACCATGGATAGAACCTTGATCTTCTGACTTCTGTTCATGTGTTCTAACCCGCAAATCATCTTTCTTTCAGCAGTACACACACTTTGTTACACCTGTCCTGCGGGGCAGATAGTATATTGTGTTAAACTGTCATACACAGCAAACAGAAATTGACTTACACCACAAAATTCTTACATAGTTTTCAAACTTTTCACAAACTTCTGGATTGTTCAGATTTGGATTTTGGTCAATCCAGTTATAAAGATATAGATCATATGTGAAATTCTGATCTGCTTTTCAAACAACACGCATATCACAGTGTGGTGTTGTGTTCATTACATTTTTAGATGCTAGTTTCAAAATGGTAAGTAGTTAAAGTGGGATAGAGCTCTTTATTTATGGTTTACCCTAAACAGATTACCTATCAATACTGTGCTTTATTCTACTGGAATTAGTTGTGCAATGAATTATGAATGAGACAACTTATTACACACACGGACAGATTTTCAAAGAAATCCTCTAAAATTCCAGATGCAGTTTGTCTGTCATTTTTTTTGCAGGCATAATATTTCCTGGTCTGGGTTTTTGTGCATGCAAGAAATTTACCTGTGTGCACAAACTGCATGTATGCACACAAACTAGGTAGACAGACATCATACAGCTTGCACACAAGTCTGAGTTTTAGTCATGCAAACGCTTGGTTATAAAAAATGTAATTTTGCAAAACAATAATTTTTTTAAAGCTGGGTTAAAGCCATTCTGAAAATTTCCCCCAAAGTTTAGAAATAACACTAAGCCTGTAAAATCTAAAAAGCAAGAAAAAGTTAAATCACTATTCTAGCCTTTACATATGTCATGCCAATGGCAGCAGGTGTAGTAAGAATAAATTGCGTTGCTTTTATTGACTTACCATTATCTTGACAGAGGGCTACATTTGAGGAAGGCAGCGTGGCCTAGCACAGAACTGAGACTCAGGAGACCTGGGTCTTATTCCCAGCTCTGCCTCTGGCCTGCTGGCTAACCTTGGGCAAATCACTTCAACACTCTGTGCCTCAGTTTCTCGATCTGTAAAATGGGGATAATGATACTGCCCTCACTTGTAAAGCACCTGAAATCTACTGATGAAAATTGCTGTATAAGAACTGGGCATTATTATTACTATTACTACTACTACTACCAGGGCCATACCTAGGGGGGTGCAGAGCCCAGGACATCGGCGCGGAGTGTCTATCTGCCGGGGGGTGCTTCCCCCAGCTCCGCCTAGGCCCTGTCCCCACTCCACTCCTTCCCCCAAGGCCCCACCCCTGCCCCGCCTCTTCCCTGCCCAGTTCCGCCCCCTCCCCTGAGCGTGCTGCGCCCTTGCTCCTCTCCCTTCACCCCCAGCACCTCCAGACGCGGTGAAACAGTTAATCGGCGGGAGGCGCTGATTTGCGGGGCCTGCCGGTGGGCAGGAGATGCTGCGGAGGAGGGGAAGGTTGGGAGGGGTGCTCCTCCCTGCTCGCCCAGCCCCCACCTCACCTCCCCACCCGCCTCCTCACAAAGTGCGGGGCCTCCCAAAGTGCAGGGCCTGGGGCAGTCACCCCGATTTGTCGTACCCTAGGGAGAGCTCTGATTATTACTTTAAGTACCTCACTCAGTGAGGAGTTTCCTTGAAATCATGGAGACTACTTGCAGGGTCAGATACTACTCAGTGGAATACATATAATATTATTTTAATTTCTTTTGATTTCTAACGAAAAGACTTGTTGAGATAGGAGTAGCTTCAATTTCGGTGGGAGACACAGGCAATAAAATCCTGCTTTCCATCTCTTTTCAGTGAAATAGTATCTCCTATTGAGATAGCTGAAGTGCCTTAAAATGAGTTAAGCCTCAAATTGCTTTTGTGTGTCCTTGAAACTCCACTGATCCTGTTAGTAATTTGTGGGCCTAAGGTTTCTCAGACTCTTATTGGATTTCGGTAGTGTCTTTTTACCATTATTTCACTGATATCATACAGGCTCGGAATCGGTGTGTATGAGATGCTCTCATTATCTGCAGTGATTCAGAATGTAAAGGACGCATTATTAATTTGTAGTTGTGTCATTGTTTAATTAGGAAGCTTTGAATGCTGGAGTCCATGCATGTGCTGCAAGTCTGTGCTGAAACAACCTTAGCCAAATCTGCACTAGTGGGCACTTCAGTAATTTAATTTAGTAGCTAAATAGAAACATAAAATACAGATGGGTAACTAGAATGTCACATAACAGGCAAAAGGTTTTGTGTTGAGATCCAGAGTTCTCATTTCACGCATGAGTTACAGAGGTTGTTTTGTTTTGAGTTTGCCATAGTGGCTAAGTTGTCAATACTGAAGAGTATTTCAGGGTCTGCTAAGCATCTATAATGATGTGAGAAATGATAATGGATTCGTTCTGGTAATATCTGTGGTCTGTAAATGTCCTTTTTATTATGAATGTGTTATCTTAATATACTGATAATGAAGACTAATATTCAAGTTTATAGTAAAAACGCATTAAAATGACTGGTTAACTTTTATCTCAAGTTAAACATTTAAATAAACATTGTCAAGTTAGACAGGTCAAAAATTTCACTTGCAATTAAAATTTATCCCACCACCCTTTTTATTTCAATACTGCCCTGAATCTGAGTAGGGCTGCAGAAGACACTGATTATTCTCTTTTCCCCCTCCCCTATCTCAACTCAAGATTGCAAGAGAGTGAAATCTCAGTTTCTTAGCTAGGTCACCTATTCATAACAAATATCTAGCTGCCACTTCAGAGGTACATGTGATGCAAGCATGTCACACTGTCTTCTACTCTGCTGTGTGAGCACTGAAATACACAGGAATTTTGTTTTTTAGTCACAATCTGCCTGCATGTACACAAGATGGGAATGTGCTTGTTAAGTGATCTCTATCCACTTCCCAGTGGGCAAATATCTCGGTCACTAAAACCTCCGCCATGTGTGGCACTAACTTGGCACAATTCTCGTTGGTTTCATGAAAGAGGTCAAAGATTTGAATGAGCATGAGCACTGAACTACCCTGTAGCCCCTCAAGGTGACCCCCTCTGGTTCAGAAATGAGGGATCTCAGCAGGTCAGTGGGGAATGCTTGCCCATCTTACTCCTGGGGTAATTCTATGCCTAAAAATTCTGTGCACAATATTTTAAAGTTCTGCATATTTCATTTGTCAAAATAAATACAATATAATCAGGCTGGTTTCAATTATTTTGGTAATTTATTTTAAAATACCTGTCAGCAAGTATGTCTGTAACAATACAGACAACAACAAAAATTTCAGGAAATGTGTTTTGACAAATAGATTCCTTACTAGGCATATTAATACAGAACTTTGAGTAATAATTCATTTAAACTACAATACAGAAACATATTTCCCACACCTCTCAGAAGCAGTGCAAAGGCTTGGGGGAGTCAGGGTAATGGAGGACCTGAAGGGAGGGAAGTAATTGTTGGGAAGGAGCCTGGAAGTGAACTTGGAGGGTTGTTGGGTGTGGATATGAGAAGTATGGAACAGTTTCTTTTTGGGGGGAGTGGGTTGTTAGGGAGTTGGGGAGCCTCCCCCATGCACACCCTGGCATACCCCTAGCCTCTCCTATTTAGGCAGGCACATCTGCCCCTGTCCCTGTGTATCCTTGCACCTCCCACCTTCTGTCCCCATGTGTCCCTGCACCCTCCACTCAGCCTCCCTCTCCCCTCTGTCCCCTTGTGGCCCTGCATCCTCACTCCCATTCAGTCCCTGGCTCAGTGCTGTCACCCCACTAGCTCCTGTGCCCCTGCCCCAGTCTCTTCCCCCCCCTCGCCCTTCTGATCCCCAGTCTATGTGACTCCCCCAGCAGCCCCATGTGTCCTGCTTTGTCCATCCCCCCATATTGCCTGCCTCCGCACCTGCCTCTGTCCACAATTACCCTGCTGACAGGCTTACAGTGTTATGTTTGTGACAGTCAATATGTTGTATCCTGTTCCCCCTTCCTTCATCTACCTTTTATCTTCTAGGTTGTAAATTCTTCCAAGTAGGGACTGTCTTTTAGTATGTGTTTCTATAGCACCTGGTGCAGTGGTGCCTGCCTCTAGTTGAGAGTCTTTGGGAGCACCACAATACAACTAATCAGTGTGATGGGTTGGATCACAGAAACCCCTTTGGAGCTGCCAACTGATGTGCCAAGACTACTACTGCCCCTGCTTTCCCTGCCAGCTTGGGACTCCAGAGCCCTGCCTGGCTGTGCCAGCCATGCTTGCCGGCCACAAACACAGACCCAGGTCTGAACCACGTCCCACAAACTGCAAGCTTAACTGAAAGCAGCTTAAGAAGTGTTCCTGTCTTTAACACTCAGATGCCCAAGTCCCAATGGGGTCCAAACCCCAAATAAATCCGTTTTACCCTGTATAAAGCTTACAGGGTAAAAGTAGGATTTAAGTGGTTCCAAGTAGTAACAGACAGAACAAAGTAAATTACCAAACAAAATAAAATAAAACATGCAAGTCTATGCCTAATACAGTAAGAAAACTGAATACTGATAAAACCTCACCCTCAGAGGTGTTCCAGTAAGCTTCCTTTTGCAGACTAGTCTCCTTCTAGTCTGGGTCCAGCAATCACTCACACCCCCTGTAGTTATTGTCCTTTGTCCCAGTTTCTTTCAGGTATCCTTTGGGGTATCTCTTGAGCCAGCTGAAGACCAAATGGAGGGGTCTCCCCGGGGTTTATATAGACTTTCTCTTGTGGGTGGACACCCCTCCCTCCCCCTGTGTAGAATCCCAGCTACAAGATGGAAGTCACATGGGCAAGTCACATGTCCAAGCATGACTCAGTTCCTTACAGGTAGCAGCCTTGGTTCACAGGCTACCTTAAACAACCTCAAGTAGACTTCTTATGTGGATTGGAGCCTTCCAAGATCCATTGTCCATTAAGTGCTTCTTGTTTGGGCACTTAACTTGCACATTCCTTTCTCAAGAAGCTGACCGAATGCTTTACTAAGGCTACTTAGAAATCAAGCAAGTACACAGCCAATATTCATAACTTTGAACACAAAAATGATACATGCATACAAATAGGATGAATAGATTCAGTAGATCATAACCTTTGTAGAGATATGTTACATGGCATATGTAGCATAAAACATATTCCAGTTATGTCATATATACATTTATAAGCATATTTTCATAAAGCCTTATGGGGTGCAACGTCAGTATAAGTGTGTGTGAAAATCGTTTCTTTAGTTATATGGACTTAATACCAGCCCTCCAGAAAAAATTGATTTGGAGTAACTTCAGATTGTTGAAGAGGTTTATTTTTCCTGAACTGGATCAACCACACACCATCAATTTATACTATGAATCCTGTATATAACAAATTGTATCTTCAGAGAAGATCCATTTCCTGTGCAAAATACATGCAGTTACCAGAAATAACTCCAAGGAATACTGGAGCTCAAAGTACTGCATCACTGCAAAATAGAAATCTTATCTTGGTTAGTCCTCTGCATAGACTAGCACTACCAGTATCAGTTTCTCAAAGGATCAAAAGCTAAAATGTTTGTTCATTAATTTGAAAAGCAAATGATAGGCCTGAATCCAAACTCCACTTCCAAAGAGCTCCAAACCTTGGGGAACTTTGCATTCAGACATTACTTTCATGGCTGGGCCTAACTAAAACCTGATATCTGAACAGCTTTGAGTATTGGGAAACATAGGATCAGGATACAAATGTTATGGATCTGGCCCATCTTGCATTTTGCTCTGTGATAAAGTGCTACTAATTATGTTAAAAGTAAAGACTTTAACAAACACAAGAGGGAGGAGGGAGCAGTCCTGCTGCCTTTTGAAGTCAAGGGGGAGGAGGATTGGGCCCAAAGATTTTAGTATACAGCATTTTTGTCTGCAAAGAAAGGAAATTATTTGGGCTACTTTGTTTTTGTAACATAATGGAAACACATTTGACATGGCTTCGCCAATCTTTGTGCACACAAAAAAAATACAAACATGAATCTATTGATATCAGAGTTGTTTCCAGTAACCGTGAGAGTGAGACCAGTTTCCATGGCAATGGCAGAGTAAATCTGGGAGGATAAAGTTGCATTGGCTGTGTTCTTCACTTCCTTTTAGTAAAATAGTCCCAATGGATTACTGTACACCTGCGCCCTAGTTGGCACCAGGTGTGCAAAGCTAGTAAATGAAAATGTGGAAATGAAGGGTTTTTTTCAGTGATGAAGGATGACAATTTTTATTAGCTTTCTTAGTTAGGTGTCTTTGTTGTTGAGTCAGCTGCTTGAGAATTGGACGTGTACAGTAGGTTAATATACATTTTTTCCACTTTTCCTTGCTCAAGAAATGTAGGCTCTGTACCCAGTGGGAGATGGTAAACAGTGGTGATAGCATCTAAAAGGTTATTAGAAATCAAATTACTTTTCACTAACCTCAAACTCCGCAGCTGCTTCTAATCCTAAAGCTGGCACTAATTGCTGTTATGTCTAATACAGTTTTGTAGAATCTGATACTATTACTTCTTACAATGCTTTGTTTTTAGCGTTCTCTAAATCCAGCTGTGATAACTGTTGCCTTTAGCTGCACAGTTAGTTTATTCTTTTAATGTAATTAGAATATATTATATATGTTAAAAAGGTAGAATCTGAGCACAAAGCACTGCATGCTACAGACCGACAGTAAATTTTAACTGCTGTGTAGTCTTTCAGAGCACATTTTTCAGGGCACTGTTTTTCCTTTGCATTTAGTGTTGTGTATTTGTTAATGATAAGTACAGGGAGATAGCTGGGAGCTGGCCTCCAACAGGATTTGCATCCTGTTGTTCCTCTTTTTATGGTAATGTGTGTGTATTTCCTGCCTGGGGTCCACTATAATCAGACTGTATTCTTCTCCTCTCCCTTTCATTTTTGTGACACTACTTTTACTATGAAACATCCAGCAGCATCAGAAATGATCTTGGCGATATAATAATCATCCTTTAAATACTTCCCTAATTTAAGACCTGGTGATGGTTGTGCACATTTGTCACGGCCTCTGAGCACAGTAAGAGCACAATAGTGCTTTAGTGTGTGGAGCTACATTGTGGCCCATTAAACAAGTTCTAATGTCGAACAAAAACCCTTTCTCTAGTTAACAGTTGCGTTTTTAATTAGTCACTTATTTTACTTCAGATCTTGCTTTATTTTTCTGTGCCTATTTGCATCACTGAAGCAATTATAGCAGAATGAATAATTTCTTCATGTCCCTGACAACAGAGCTTTTTCTGTTATACTAACACGTGGATAGATGTAAACTTAGGTGCTGAAACTAGGGTTGCTGGGGGTGTGGCTGCACCCCTGGCTTGAAGTGGTTTCCATCCTATACCGGATTTACAGTTTGGTTCAATTGCTCTCAGCACCCCCACTGTACAAGTTGTTCCAGCACCCCTGGATTTAAAGATCAGGAATGCTGATATACATGATGCTCATACACAGTTGTGCATCAAAACAAACTTTAAGAAAGCTTTGCAAATCACTCTCAGAGCCGTCCCTTGGGTACAGTGAATTGGAGCAACCGCTTTGGGGGACCCTTCCGGCCGGTGCGATTGGCTGGCACAGTCGGACTCCAAAGTGACGGGTTCGTCACTTCCATCCCGGGCCCCGCACCCTCCTAGGGACAGCCCTCCTTACTCTATTTAGTCATCCTTTTTGTGAGGGCATTAAAATTACTCCTACTGTTAGGCTGAGGATGTTTCTGAAATCCCTAGTTCACCTAGATACTCTTGTGTCATCTTGAATTTGTTTTTGGCTTATAACTGCCTCCCTAAAAATATCTTCATAAAGCATAAAAGGGTAAAAAGTACTAAAACAACCTTTCACTAGATCTTAACTGAGCAAATGTTTGTTTACTGTATTTAAAGAAGGGGAACAACCACCTCCGAGATATTATTGCACCTCCAGGCCTATAGGCAACAATTAGTTCCATAAGAACTCTATTCAGCTGTTGCCAGAATGGAGCCATATGCTAACATTTGTAGTCCAGTAACTTATATGACCTTAGTTTTCAGGAATGTCTTCTGCTGTTGTGAAATGCTACATGGATAAAACACGTACAACTGCATGCAATTACATCACTGTTTGTATTTATATAAAACTTATACGAACAACTTAAATGACCGCTTTTCAACATGTGATTAGTTAAAGATATGATTTTTAAGGTGATAATTTGGTGAAAGTGACCCAGGATAAACTGTTCGATGTGCGCTGCTTGTTTAACCTTCACATTCTCAACATCGTTTATTTCATTTGTATGTAAGATTCCCTGATGGCTACGTAAAGGTTTTTGTAAGAGAACTCTATGTTACAGATTTATTTGAAGTGAAAGTTAGTTAGTATGTTTACTCAGCCTGAGTTAATACATAACTATAGTAGTGTAGAAAACAGAGTCGATGTGGGGAGGAGTATGCGGGGTCACGTGCCCCCTAGATTTGCTGCTTGGCTTGGCCTGAGCATGCTCAGTAACACTGCTGAAGCCGGCTGCCCTCACTCTGCCCTTCCCTCCCCCCCGCCCTCCACTACTGGCAGGCAGGGGTTGACTCTGGTAGAAAATAGAGTAGTCACTACTGAAAGCTTCACAAAAGTCTTCACAAGTGCAGTGATTGGTGTTACCATGGTATTCATTGTATCCCCTAGATGATATTCCTTACACTAAGTACTATCTAGCGAATAGCATAAATACTGTACATACACTAACTACTTGCAAAGGCATTTGTAATGATTTTGATGGCAACCCCAGAAGGAGCAGGGGGCAGGAGGGAATTTGGGCATCGCTGACTTGTTGCACTGATATGGTTGTAGCTCAGTAACAGCTCCCATATTGGTTTTCTTCTAAGGGTGAAGTTGTGTGAGTCCCAGCAGCTGTTATATTTCTTTGGTCTTCACAAGGATTTTCCAGTGAAAACAAGCTCTCAGATAAAACAGAGGAATGGTATAGCCCTATAATAATTCTTTATTGATAGGGGTGTTTTATCAGCTGAAGTATAGAAGGTATCTTTTTGGATGGAGTCAGTCTTTTTTTGTCCAGGGTTATAGTTGTAATATCTATTCAATATGCCATTTATGGAAAAGGGAATGTTATACTTCTGGATAAATATAGATGCTGAATCACTGAACTGAAGTTTCTGGCTTTTCTTTTTATAATAGATTGAACAAATGAGGAATGAACTACTTCAAGAAAGAGCTACAAGACAAGATTTGGAGTGTGACAAGATTTCATTGGAAAGACAAGTAAGAGTTGCAGGCATACCACCTCAATGTGTGATCCCTACAAATCTCACAAGCTGAGCAAGGCCATGCTAGATTAGCGCCTTGATTGGATGCATTCAAGTGGCATCTAAGGGCTGTGGGAAGTAGTGCTGGTGATTCACTAGTTTACGAAACATCAGCTTATAGAGCTTGAGGTACCTACCATCTTTAGAAGAGACAGACGAAAGTGAGTTTCTGACCACTTGTTGTCAATAAAGATCCCAAGGCATGTTTCATAGGAGTAAATATATTGTTCCCATTGTCCTGGCTGAATTTCATCTCTGTAATTACGTTCTTCATCACTGATTTCCCCTGCAGTTTCAATTAAATACAACATTCGTCACTTTTATTTCCTAACCCATTGTATTGTACAGTGCTGTGTAGTTTTATCAGCTCCTATTTTCATCTCAGAGATGGCAGTATTTCAGTGATAGGGAAGGAATCCCTATACAGTCTGTCTATATGTTTTGGGATGAAAGACATTATAAATTGTTTTTGTACAGGTATTAGTTTAAGAAAAATGAGCTAACAATTATATTGACTGGTTTTAAGACTAATGTAGGGAAAACGCAGTAAAATGTCAAAAATACTGTCAGCTACCTAGATCTAAAACCTTCATCAGATTTGGAGGGAGAGATCTTCCAAACTCTAAATTCAATTTTAGAGTCTTGCATACCATTACCAAAATAATAATTTTAAGCAGTCACAGTTTGGTCTGATATTTTGCTTCTGCAGAAATAATAATAATACTCAGAAAAATAGCATTCTTTGTGAAATAAAAAGTACAGAATTAATAGAAAGAGAACTGTTACTTTCTGTTGCCTAAATTTGTATCTTATACAATGGGAAGTGTTTTAAAACTATTTGATAATGTCTGTGAAACAGTTCTCATGCTCACCCTGCAGACAGCTAATCTTCTTCCATTTTTATTGTGCCTTTCATCCTGGTGGATTACAAATCAATTTACAAACAGACATATGCTAGGAACTGCTGACGCACAGCCCCCACTGAGGTCGAACATGTCAAGTATTGTTTAACAGGACCACGTGATAGTTTAGGATAAAAGGAGATGAACAATACTTTATCCACTTGCAATAAAAGAGGTATTTAGATAGGTAGAATGTAACTACCAGAATTGGATTGGGGCAGGATTCCAAAATTCATGCCCATAGTCTTACAAAAAGTGCGATGGAACTGTTTCACCCCATTTTAGAGCCTGATCCTGCACTGCTGACTCCTCTGAGTCAGCCATGCCAACGTAATGGTATAGTAGACATCACCTCAGTAATGAGTTTAAAGGAAAGAGAGCCACCTACTGATACACCAGATCCTCCAGTTACAGCACTGATTAATCCCACTATAGTCCAGTAAATTATAATTTATGAGATTTGAGGACTTCACAGTTTGAGGTAGCATAACTCAAAACTTTTTTTTTTTTCTCAATATTGCCCTTCTCTTCATATAAGCATCTCACTGCTGCTTGATTTTTAACTTTCTTTTGTAATGATTGAGGGGTTCTTTAAGAGAACTCTGACATAAATTTACTAAGTTGAAACTTTGAAAACATTATGCATATGTCGTAAATGAACACTGTGTCTGTACCTTTTCATGCAAACAATATACTAGATTATAACTTCAGTCTCTTGCTGATTGGTGTATTTTGAAACTCATAAAACTATACTCAGTGTCATAGCTTCTAACTGTTGTATGCAGTGTTGCTGTAGTTATGTCAGTCCCAGGATATTAGAGAGACAAGATGGGTGAGGTAATATCCTTCTTTGGACCAACTTCTGTTGGTGAGAGAGACAAGCTTTCAAAAGCTTAAAAGAGATTACCTCACCCACCGTGTTTCTCTGATAGCTTCTAATTGTAAGTTTATTTTGTACTGCTGATGGTAGAGAGTCTGTGTTTTAAGAGATCAGAGATTTCCATATGGCATCACGTGGCGAGTAATGGATTGTTAAAGTGAGAGAAGATACATAAATCCATGGAGAGTTTCTAGTGACCGCATGAAAACTTAGAATGAAACTTGAGTGACTTATCTCTTACTACTGATTATCTACTTTTTTAAATGTGCGGGTCCTAGGAGGGAAAAGGAAACCTTATTGAAAACCTAGATGGACTTCTTTTGGTTAAAAAGTCTTCTGTTTTCCTTGAAGTTAGTTAATATGTATCTGAGTCCGCCTATGGATTGTTTGGAATATAATGATCTGGCATATGACTATAATACAGTGACTTGTCTTTTAGTTTACTGTGCAGTATATTTTATCATGCATATTATAGTTGAGATGAAAAAATAACAATAGACTGTAGATTGTACCACAAATATGATAAATCACAGCATCATAGAAATGTAGGGCTGGAAGGGACCTCAAGAAGTTTTCAAGTCTAGCTCCCTGTGCTGAAGCAGGACTAAGTAAACCCAGACACTCCCTGACAGGTTTGTCCATCCTGTTGTTAAAAACCTCCAGTGACGGGGATTCCACAACCTCCCTTGGAAGCCTATTCCAGAGCTTAATAGCCCTTATAGTTAGAAAGTTTTTTCTGAATATCTAACAAAAATTTCCCTTGCTGCAGATTTAAGCCCATTACGTCTTGTCCTACCTTTAGTGGACATGGAGAACAATTCATCAATGTCCTCTTTATAACAGCCATTAATATATTTGAAGACTGTTATCAGGTCCCCCCTCAGTCTTGTTTTCTCAGGAAGAACAAGCCTAGTTTTTTAACCTTTCCTCATAGATCAGGTTTTCTAAACCTTTTATCGTTTTTGTTGCTTTCCTCTGGACTCTCTCCAATTTGTCCACATCTTTCCTAAAGTATGGCTCCCGGAATTGGACACAGTACTCCAGCTGAGGTCTCACCAGTGCCGGGTATAGTGGGACAGTTACAACGCTCCTGTTAGTACACCTAAGAGACAAGGTGGGTGAGGTAATATCTTTTATTGGACCAACTCCTTCTGGTGAAGGAGACAAGCTTTCAAGCTCTGTGTAAATGTGAAAGCTTGTCTCTTTCACCAGCAGAAGTTGATCCAATAAAGGGTATTATCTCACCCACTCAAACATCCTGGAACCAATACAGCTACAACAACATTGCACCCAAGAATGATATTAGCCAACTGCATCACATTGTTTACTCATGTTCAACTTATCATCCACTATAACCTCCAGATCCCTTTCAACTGTACTAGCACCTGGCCAGTTGTTCCCCATTTTGTAGTTGTACATTTGATTTTTCCTTCCCAAGTGAACTACTTTGCACTTGTCTTTTATTGAATTTCATCTTCTTGATTTCTGACAAGTTATCTTGCTTGTTTTTCTTTTCTGTTCAAATGTGATTAGTTTACATTAGGTTCTGCCTGGAATATTTAATTTAAAAAGTAGTTTTCAGTTTTAGGAAAAAAATCACCCAAGCCAGGAACCTTCTTTGTTTTGTGTACCCATAACTTAAACTCCATGTGGGTTACCTGCCTGACCCAATCCCACAAGGAAAAAGCTGCAGTGCCTGAGTGATTTACACCTGCAAAGGAATTGCATGGCCAAATCACAGACCTTTTTAAAGTAAGAATGGAAACATTGTCAGATCCTTGCCCACAACAGTGGTGCTGGACACAGCTGTTCACACGTATGTGACACCTTTTATTATATATGCAGCAGCCGGCCATAGAGGTGTTTAGAATTTTAGACAAAACAATTTATCATGGAGATTAAAATAATTCCAATGTGATGCAGGAAATATTAACCTATGTACAGAACAGTGAATGGAGGGGGCCAAAAGGTAGAAAACACAGAGCCACTGGCAAACTTTCTGAAGGTTCAGGGGACTTCAAGCCAAGGAATCCAATTCAGGCCTGTTTCTAATTCTTAATCTTGATTAAATTCTCCAAAGCGTAACTTTGAAGCACAAAGATGGGTTTGCTAGGGGTTACAAGCCTCCCCACAAAGATTTCACTGGCTGACTCTTGTCCAAAAAAAAAAATTAAAAAAAAGTGTAATGCTCTTTTTGCTTACTCACTGAATGTAAAAGCACCTTAGCCCCTGTGTTTCTCTGCATGGACTCGTTTTGTATTAAGGCAGTGCTTATGTTTGTTAATATGCTGATGCTGATTTTTTTAAATAAATATATATATAATAGTAATAATGTATGTTCTAATTCTAGAACAAAGATTTGAAGAGCCGAATCCTTCACCTTGAAGGTTCTTATAGGTCCAGTAAAGAAGGACTTGTTGCTCAAATGGAAGCAAGGATCACTGAGCTAGAGGGACGGCTAGAAAATGAAGAGAGGTAAAACAAGCTAAGTTCAGAGCCTGGAAAGTGTGTGTACACATAGGCAGGTGGCACTGTGTTAATTTAGTGTAATTTGGAAGCTTGTGTGGTCTCTAGGCCTATCATTGCAAAACATTTTCACAAGCACTGAATTTGCATGACATTTTGTTTAAAAGCAAGCATTTAATGTGTTCTTTTTGATTGCTACATTGACACAAAATCAATATGGGAATTGTTATATAACCCCTAACACTGGGTTGCCATACTAACTAGTAGCATTAGACAGATCTCTTATTTTATCAATAGCTGCCATCGGTTATAGTCACAGAAATGCCAGCTGTAATTAAACATTTCTCTTTGCAGATGCATTTCAGCGTAATGATTTTTGGTGAGAAGTGCTTCTTACCTTCTGAACTTTCTCAGTACAGCACTGAGAAAATAAGTATATTTTTCCTTAAGTGTTTCATGCTTTGAATAAAATTTCAATATGTTGCACAGAATCAGTACATCAAAGCAGATGCCATTAGTATTTATTTTGCACTTACAATATCACAAGGGCGTAGGCTCAGAAGAATTTGGAATGATTCCAACTGCCATTTCTACATGTCTGTGTTTTTTAGGGATCGGGCTAATCTCCAGCTAAGCAATCGCAGACTTGAACGGAAAGTGAAGGAATTAATGTTGCAAGTAGATGATGAACATCTCTCACTGACTGACCAAAAGGACCAGGTAGACGGAAAGATTTATACATAAACAGTCTGTTATTTCTGTAACTATAGATTCATAGATTCATAGATTCTAGGACTGGAAGGGACCTCGAGAGGTCATCGAGTCCAGTCCCCTGCCCGCATGGCAGGACCAAATACTGTCTAGACCATCCCTGATAGACATTTATCTAACCTACTCTTAAATATCTCCAGAGATGGAGATTCCACAACCTCCCTAGGCAATTTATTCCAGTGTTTAACCACCCTGACAGTTAGGAACTTTTTCCTAATGTCCAACCTAGACCTCCCTTGCTGCAGTTTAAGCCCATTGCTTCTTGTTCTATCCTCAGAGGCTAAGGTGAACAAGTTTTCTCCCTCCTCCTTATGACACCCTTTTAGATACCTGAAAACTGCTATCATGTCCCCTCTCAGTCTTCTCTTTTCCAAACTAAACAAACCCAATTCTTTCAGCCTTGCTTCATAGGTCATGTTCTCAAGACCTTTAATCATTCTTGTTGCTCTTCTCTGGACCCTTTCCAATTTCTCCACATCTTTCTTGAAATGCGGTGCCCAGAACTGGACACAATACTCCAGCTGAGGCCTAACCAGAGCAGAGTAGAGCGGAAAAATTACTATAAATTACCGTGCATTGTATAGACAAGGATACTTAAGGTTTAGAATGCTTGATGATTATTTTTTGTGAACTGATTTTACAAGATTCTTTTATTCCCAATGCCATTGTGTTCCTCAGCCTAGTAGCAATAAGTGGGGAAATGTGACATTTTAGGCTTCTCCTAAGACTTTAATAAAATGAAGGCATTTCATGTACAGATTACTAGCAGTACAGTAGTTTTTGTTTATTTTTAAAACTTCATTGAACACCAGAAAGTATTATCAACCAGATGCAAATGCATACATTAGAAAGCAATATATATTGTCCCTTACAAAAAAAATCCTTTCTAAAGAAAGAAGCTTTTTAGATTTTTTTAATATAAGCATATTCTGCAATTTGTAGTAGCAATGTGCATTACCATTTCATGTGACTTTTCCTGATTCCTTGCTTACAGCATCGTTTGTTTTAGTAAACTGGGTCAAATAGTCTTTATTCCGCCTAGTGAACAAGCAGATTACACTTTCCAAAATGTTTGCTGTGGCAACAGTCATTCAGTCTTTACTTTTAAAGTAATTTTTATGTATCTAAATATATATTTAAAAAATATAAAGTCTGTTTGTTAGTGTAGCTTAAACTATGTATGTAGTTGTACCCATGTCACTCCTAGGATATTAGAAAGACAAGGTGGGTGAGGTAATATCTTTTATTGGACCAAGTTTGAAAGTTTGTGTCTCTCACCAACAGAAGTTGGTCCAATAAAAGATATTACCTCACCCACCTTATTTAGCTTTAATTATGACACTCCAGTAACTCCAGGCACAGTTTTTTTTTTTTCCTTTTTGAACACTGGATGCTACCACTGCATTGGTCTATACAATTATACAGCTTCACAGTAGCCAGGAGGTATCTGTTTTGTTCTTTTCAATTTCAAAAACTACATTTACCATTACTTGATTGGTCTCAAAGGGTATGTCTATACTTACGCGGTAGTTCGACGGCTGGCTATCGAACTTCCGGGTTCGATTTATCGCGTCTGGTCTGGACGCGATAAATCGATCCCAGCAGTGCTCGCCGTCGACTGCGGTACTCCAGCTCGGCGAGAGGAGTACCGCAGAGTCGACGGGGGAGCCTGCCTGCCGCGTGTGGACCGCGGCTGAACCGCGGTAAGTTCGAACTAAGGTATGTCGTCTTCAGCTACGTTATTCACGTAGCTGAAGTTGCGTACCTTAGTTCGAATTGGGGGGTTAGTGTAGACCAGGCCAAAGACTAATGCTGACTTTCAGCTACTGCCCAGGTACAGTTGTGCAATATCATGACATTAGCAAAGTTGAGACTTCATTCCCCAACTCATAGATGGCAGGGAGAACAGAATTCCTTTATCAAAATATTCTTCTAATCAGCTGCTGTTTAAATATTTCAGTTGAGTTTGCGTTTGAAAGCAATGAAACGTCAGGTTGAAGAAGCCGAAGAAGAAATAGACAGACTGGAAAGTGCCAAAAAGAAACTTCAGAGGGAGTTAGAAGAGCAAATGGACATGAATGATCAATTGCAAGGACAACTTAATGCTGTGAAGAAGGAATTAAGGTGGGATTTCTTATAAAAGCAGATCCCTAGAACAGGCCCACACACCACCAAATGTACACTGCAGTGCAATTCTCACAGAATACTTATGAATGTCTTATAGTAGCATTGAAAATTAGTGCAAAAATTAAAGGCCTGTGTACATTTCCCTTGTAAGCCATCATTTCCCTGACTTTCTTGCATGTTTCACTTGGCTCACATAGTCTTAGCCTGTGAACAATGCTTTTCTTTGTCAAATTTCATTTTAAATTATATTGTAGGAGCGTAAAACCAGGGACTCTGTAGTTCCAGATCTTTGTTTATGTATCTGTTACTCAAAACCAATAATGTACTCATAAAACAAATGGAAAATGCTAATCTCTTATTGCTCCGGCCCATCAGACTGGGACTGCCCTCTGGCAGCTTAGGATGTTTGCTGCCTCAGATGCAGAGCTGGAAGCAATGCTCCTGCAATACCTTCCTCTGCAAATCTTCCCCTCCTGCCCCCCCGGTAGGTGCTCCAGTTGTCAGTCCAGTTTACCAGGGTCTCTGAGCTGAGCTGAGCAGAGCTGGTGAGGCAGGGAACAAGCGCCCATTGTCAGAGAACAGAATAACTGTATTTCATTGCAGAGGTAAACTTACTTATGATAATTGAGGGGAATAGTTCTTCCGTGTTTAATTGTAAAAGTGGTTTTTTATCAGAGCCATTGCTGGAGGGTGCCTGGGTGCAAAGTTTGGAGTTTCTCATGGCTGTGGTACGTTAACTAAAAGGCCCTGAAAAAACATTCTAATCTCGGGAGATTTAGAAAAAGATCAATTTTAGATGTTTCCTCTGCTAAAATTAGTAAAAAGATATTTACTATATAGGGGTGTGTGTGTGTGTGTGTGTGTGTGTGTGTGTGTGTACACATAGGGCAGGTCTACACTTACTTCCTGGTCCGGCCGTAAGCAATCGATCTTCTGGGATCGATCCCGGAAGTGCTCGCCGTCGACGCCGGTACTCCAGCTCGGTGAGAGGAGTACGCGGCATCGACGGGGGAGCCTGCCTGCCGCGTCTGGACCCGCGGTAAGTTCGAACTAAGGTACTTCGAATTCAGCTACATTATTAACGTAGCTGAATTTGCGTACCTTAGTTCGAAATGGGGGGTTAGTGTGGACCAGGCCATACATAGCATGTGGGCATATGTATGTGTATGGGATGTGTTATGGTGTATTATAAAGTTTTTATCAACAAGGCCGCAAACCGTCCCCGCAGCACCTGCACCTGCAGAGACAACGCAGCAGGAGGAGCGACGGCCACGAGCGAGGGTCGCCACGCCGTGGCAATCCGCCTGGATGGAGGAGCTGGCAAAGGCTGAGGACTTTGAGAACTTCGACACCCTGATGGACAGACTGACTGCAGAACTGTCTGCAGAAATTATGGCCAGAAGGAGGGAACCCCAGGAAGCCGCACGGGCCACTCGCAGATTCCCTGCGCCGAGCCGTAACAACACCGCCAGAGAAGGCAGGAGAGGGGACGTCGGCCACCGCTACGATCCAGCGGCTGCATCCCGTATTCAGAAACTATACAGGATGAACCGGACGAAAGCCATGAGGGAGATCCTCGACGGGGCCTCCTCCTACTGTGCCATCCAGCCCGAGAGGCTCTACTCCTACTTCAAGGATGTGTTTGATCACGAGGCCCAGACCAACTTGCGACGTCTAGAGTGCCTTTCCCTGCTACCCCAGATCAACCTCACGGAAGACTTGGAGCGAGATTTTTCCCCGCAGGAGGTGCAGGCGAGGCTGTCGAGGACCAAAAACACCGCCCCTGGAAAAGATGGCATCTGCTACCCCCTGCTGAAGAAGCGAGACCCCGGCTGCTTGGTGCTCGCTGCCATCTTCAACAAATGCAAGCAGTTCCATCGCGTTCCCCGCTCCTGGAAAAAGTCCATGACCATGCTCATCCACAAAAAAGGCGAACGAGACGACCCCGGCAACTGGAGGCCCATCTCCCTCTGCTCCACCATCTACAAGCTGTATGCCAGCTGCCTCGCGGCAAGGATCACAGACTCGTCAGTGTGCGGGGGCGCCGTCAGCTCAGTGCAGAAGGGTTTCATGTTCTGTGAGGGATGCTACGAGCACAACTTCCTCCTTCAGACAGCCATCCAGGAGGCCAGGAGGTCCAAGAGGCAGTGCGCAGTAGCATGGCTTGAACTGACCAATGCCTTTGGGTCCATACCCCACCATCACATCTTTGCCACCCTGGGAGAGTTCGGGATGCCAGAAACCTTCATCCAGATCCTCCGGGACCTCTACAAGGACTGCACCACCACCATCCGCGCCACGGACGGAGAGACGGACGCCATCCCCATCCGCCGCGGTGTGAAACAAGGATGCCTTAGCCCCATCATCTTCAACCTGGCCATGGAACGGCTCATCCGAACCATCTCCAGCAGCCCAACCAGCTTCGACCTGCACGGCAAGAAACTCAGCATTCTGGCCTACGCGGACGATCTGGTCCTGACCGCGGACGACCCAGAGAGCCTCCAAGGTATGCTAGATGCCACCAGCCGAGTTACTGACTGGATGGGGCTCCGCTTCAATGTGAAGAAGTGCGCAACTCTGCACATTGACGGCAGCAAAAGGGACTCAGTGCAGACAACGGGGTTCCAGATCCAGGGTGAGCCCGTCATCCCCCTGGCAGAGGGGCAGGCATACCAGCACCTAGGCACGCCAACAGGGTTCCGTATCCGGCAGACACCCGAGGACACCATCCAGGAGATCTTGCAGGACACTGCCAAGATTGATGCCTCCCTGCTGGCACCATGGCAGAAGATAAACGCCCTGAACACCTTCCTGATCCCACGCATCTCGTTCACCCTAAGGGGATCCGCCGTGGCGAAGGTGCCCCTCAACAAGGCAGACAAGATCATCCGGAAGCTGGTGAAGAAGTGGCTGTTCCTTCCCCAGAGAGCCAGCAACGAGCTGGTCTACATCGCCCACAGGCACGGCAGCGCCAACGTCCCCCGCCTGGGTGACCTGTGCGACGTTGCGGTGATCGCCCACGCCTTCCACCTGCTGACATGTCCCGACGCCACGGTGAGGAACATTGTGGCGAATGCCCTGCGTGATGCGACAGAGAAGCGGATCGGCAGAGCCCCCTCGAACCAGGACATCACCACCTTCCTGAGCGGCTCCCTGGATGGGGAATTCGGACGGGACGGGCGTGACATCGCTTCACTGTGGTCCCGCACTCACAACGCCACGCGTCGCCTGGGGAAGCGCATCGGCTGCCGCTGGGAGGGGTGCGAGGAGCGGCAGGAGCTGGGAATCCGGGTGCCGCAGATCAGGTCCTACGACAACACCGTCATTACCCCGACGGCCAGGGGCTTGCTGGAGAGGACTCTGAAGGCCGCCATCCGCTCACTGTACGTGGAAACCCTGAAGCGTAAACTGGACCAGGGTAAAGCCTTTGAGTTGACCAGCAAGTGGGACGCGCGCAACCACTTCCTCAACGGGGGCGGCTTCACCCGTTTCGCCGACTGGCGGTTCATCCACCGTGCCCGGCTCAACTGCGTCCCGCTCAACGGAGCCGTCCGCCACGGGAACTGAGACAAGCATTGCAGGAAGTGCGGCTACCCCAGCGAGACCCTGCCCCACGTCCTGTGCAGCTGCAAACCCCACTCCAGAGCCTGGCAGCTGCGCCACAATGCCATCCAGAACCGCCTGGTGAAAGCCATCGCGCCACGCCTGGGGGAGATCTCCGTGAACTGCACCATCGCCGGTACTGACAGCCAGCTACGACCTGACGTGGTCGTCACCGACAAGGCCCAGAAAAAGATCATCCTTGTCGACGTTACGGTCTCCTTTGAGAACAAGACCCCGGCATTTCGCGAAGCCCGAGCTCGTAAGCTGGAAAAGTACGCCCCCCTGGCTGACACCCTGAGAGCGAAGGGCTACGAGGTGCCCTGATTGTCGGAGCCCTGGGCGCCTGGGACCCCTGCAACGAGCGTGTGCTGCGGACCTGCGGGATCGGTCGACACTACGCACGTCTCATGCGGCGCCTCATGGTCTCAGATGCCATACGATGGTCCAGGGACATCTACATCGAGCACATCACCGGCCACCGACAGTACCAGGAGGCGTGAGCCAGAGTGACATCGTTCTCCCACTATGAGAAAGGGACCAAGTGACCTTCTCCGTTGGATCATATGAACTGGAACCATAAACTCCCTGAACATTAAATCTCACCAAATGAGGGTCAATCCATCCTCACCATCATATCCACTCATTATAATCCACACCCGAACATAGCCACTTCATGAACTTCATACCCTCATATCTCAATGTCTATAATTTGACCCATCAATCTTTTACCCCCAATCGGGGATATTGCAGATTATGTATTCCTCATGCCACCTTATCTTAAACCAAACTTTGCACCCTCGATAATCTGTATGTTATTCCCTGATAACCAGAAACTTCTATGCTCAAACTCTGTTCACTATTTTTTTTAACATCATCTTAATAAAGTTTTTATCAACATGAGTTGGGGATGGGTGAAATTCTCAGGAATGGTGTTCAGCCCTCCCCATCCTGTATTCTGTGTAAACTACATATGCTAGTGGAAACATTTCAAAATGATGGATATTTGAAGCTTTTGAGAGGTTTGGAAATGTCTGAATAAGTGCCAGCTGTGGTAAATTAGTAGAGAGGTGAGGTGCTCAAAGATGCATAATAAATTGTGGAGCTATGTGGTAAATGAATTTATTACATGGGTTTCATTCCACAAGTGTATGGAAGATATAGTTAGCGGTTGGGGTACTTACATGCTTTTTAAAATCCTACCCTAAGTAATTGAGGAGAATAAGTCCCTGTGGCTTACTTAAAAGTAACATAGGCACTAATCCCAACCAAAATAAATATAATCAGTGCTACTGTGTTACTTTTCCAGAGTACATGTTACACATACATCCATATGGTATTGCTGTATAGACATGTATATATTTTTGTTGTAGCAGACGGAAGAAGTCACCAAGTAAAGTGTTGACTGATCTTGATGATGACGACGATGATGATTTCAGTACGGATGGAGAGAGTCTCTATGAAGCACCTTCAGGATATAAATCCTCAAAAGACAATGATACAAAAAGCTAAAACTGACTCAACCCTGTGATTCTGTTAAACTAATTTAGGCTGATCTATTATCAAGGATATGCAGATTCCAAGAGCCAAAAGACTAGACAGATTCGAGAGCTGAAGATCTTTACATCTGTATTGTGCCATTTTCATATTTAGATCTTCTTTGTGTAACACAGCAAACAGAAAGCAAGATTGCATTGTAAAACATCTAGAAATATGGCATGTACCTGTTACCTTTGAGAAAACGTTTATAACTGGGATGATGTTTCACATCAGAAATGTGATTTTACTAAAATTCTGTTTAAATTAAGTAAACCGAAATGAGAGCCATCTGAAAGTCATTGAACATTACTTTATTTGAGGTTGTTGCTAAAGAGTTTTTTCCTAGAATTTAGGAAACCAGAGTGCAGAAGATTATTTAATAATTGTAAGTAGGGGAAACTGATGTATAGAATGTAAATATTTTAAACTAGACTTTTTATTAACTACTCTAGTGCCATTTTGTAAAGCTTCAAAAATTTTATAGATCAGTTTCATATGAAAAGTACTTAAATCTATTTTGAACATTATGCATTTTAACTAAAAAAAGAAACAAATACATTTTACGAATACATGTATTAAGGGAGCAGATTCATTGTTTTCAAGGCAAGAAACACAGTTGAATTTTAAATTCAGTATAAATTTTACTATATGTCAACTACAAATTAGAAGTCAGATACTGGCTTTGTGATTAAACCCTAAAATCCAAATCCTGTTTATTGACTTCAAAGGGACCATTACATGGGTATGGTTAGCAAAAGGTGGTCCTAGGATTATAGGAATCTTTTGTCTACAAAGCCATCTGCCATTAGTAGGGAACACTGAAAACAAGTTTAGTTATTACTTGCAATGTTTTTTCCCAAAGAGCACTCTGGGCCTTATCAGCAAAACACTTTAAGCACCTGGTTTACTTGAAGCCCAGGAGCACTCCCATTGATTTTGGTAAGATTACTCGTGGGCTTCAAGTTAAGCACATTCTTAAGTGCTTTGATTAACTGGTCCCAGAGTGCTCTGTACCTAGCAGGAATGGAGCCCAAGCTTGAGGAAGAGTTAATATTTAACACATGCCCTGTAATCTGATTTTATATTTCTACCATGTTCTTTAGTGCCTGTTCATAACATTTTGCAGTCTCCAGGAATATATGCAGTGTTTCAGTTTATGGCACTTTGGAGATTATCTTGATCAGTCCTGTAAAGAAATTTTGAAAAACATGCATTGGAAATTTGTGGGTTTTATTTGAGACTTTTTACAGTTCATTACTAAATGTATTATCACCTGTATAATTTGTATCATGCCTCCTCCCTGCTTTGCTCTTTTGCAAATTTAGCATCTTTGTAAATCTGTTGCCAAATAATTTTGATAAGCCATAGCTAAATCCTATCTGATTAGCAACTTCTTTCAAATGATATTTAAGTAAGCACTTCTCTGCTACATGGATCAGATAACCATTTATTTTGATGTAGTTCTAAAATTATTAGAACCTGGAGATGTTAAAATCTTCCTTTTACTCCTGCAGACTTACCTACAGAAGAAGTTAAACTTGGCAGTTCTGAAAGTGAAGGAACTGTTTATTTTTGGTGGTGGTGTTGTTTTTTAAAGTAAGTAAACAGCCATCCTGACAAGGAAATATCACATCTCTTCCAATGTGGTTACATAGAAACAAAACAATTAAGGCCCCATCCTGCCATTCACAATGTGAGGGTGCAGCAGTCTATTCCCTTGTTGTAAATTGCAGGATCAGAGCCCATATCATCATCATCTTATATATGATTTCAATAGCACCCTACATTTGTAGGAAATAAGTTACTACTATCCTCCAGATTACATTATCTCTGACATTTATATATGCTTTCCAGTTAATTAGTTTTCTGGTTTATATAAATTAATCCCTTTTCAGTGATCTCCTTTGTACTACTACAGTAATGTTAAAAAAAAAAATCTGGAAAATCTGCGCTATGCTGTATTGACAATCATCCAATAATAACCTGTTGTGATTTATTTTTTGTTTTATTTTACATTTTAGCATGGATTTAACTGTAAACAGCTGATAATTTTACATTCTGTTTCAGCACTCTTATCTTAATGTTCATAAATTACTATTCTTTCAAGCCATTGAAAAAAGATCAATTAACATTGCAGCTACCTCCAGGTACACTAAACTGTAAAAGAAAAATCATTTAAAATAAACTGTATCAGCCAAACTCATTCATTTCTACTTTTTATGTCGAATTGTGGTTGATTTGGTGTTTGAACTGCATACTGCAGAATGCATGCATTTAAAATATATTAAGAAAAAATTGCCCTGGAAATATTAATGTTATAAGCAAGTTTCTATATTTCCTTCCATTTGGAAAGGTAGATTTAATCCAGAACATTTCTGTTTTACAAGAAGATGGAAAATCTTATAAAAAGCTTATAAAAATAATATAGAAGAAAGAGCCATATTTGTTGTAAACTATAATAAAGGTATAGATGAAATTAACACTGCCCTTATCCATACAGTTAGGTTTTGTAATAATTGGGCCTACTATTTTATCCTAATTATAATCTGAATTGAAGGAAGTGAGTAAAAGTTCATTAACTGTCACAATAACCTCTAACAATAAATATGGATGGGAAATGATGCAAAAGGGAGTCAGAGTGAATTAGTCCAAACAAAGAGGCCTACTAATATTATTCAAGGACTGTGTTAAGATCATATCTGGTAAACTAATGAAATGTGGGACCAGATATCAATGGACCAAAATTGGTGTGTCAGAAATTAGGCCTAATTGGTGAACAAAATAATGAGGGGATGAGCAATTCCACCCAGCACTCCCTTTTGGGATCCTAAAAACAAAACAAAACAAAAAAAGATTAGAAGCAGCAGAAGCTGTTTGCCAACAACCGCTGCAGCAACCTTTGTCATCATGCCTGCCACCCGCACCATCTCCTGGGACCCAAGGGTCTGCTGTGACATTGTTGGGCCTTCATCATCCGAATTCCAAAACGTGTCCTGACAAGACCAGGACCAAAGAGAGGGACCCAGATGACATTGCCAGCTCCACCAGCTCTGGCTAAATCCTGAATACCATCTGGAACTTGGGATTTTGTTGGCCCTTCCCCTCCCTGCACGTGTCCTTTTCCTTCCCCACCTTATTTAGTCTCTTTTCTTTTGCCTTCTGTTCAGTAAGAGTCTGTCTTACCTGGCCAAGTCTGTATATTTTGCCACACCGCTGTAACCCTATGACCAGAGAAAGACCGATAAAGCAATGCCCTAACCAGCCTGATGCTGGTACAACAGAGTGGCTAATAAGACCATGTGCTCTGCCTGTTTTTTTTCCAGCAGTGAGGTTGCAAGTGAAAGTCAACGCTAGAGATAGAAGCTGCATTTTCTGTCTTTGCTGTTCTCTTCTTTCCCCTTCTGCATGTGTTTGCCTTGTCTTCTAGGAAATGGGATTGGACTTTAACAGCAGCTTCAGCCCATTTCAACTAACTTATCTTTTCCCCCAAAAGGACAGTTATTACCATCTGTAATACCATCTACAAGACTGTCAGACAAAGGGTTTTTCCTTCTAAAAACTCTCTCCAGCTAAAGGGAAAGGGAACAAGGGATGTTAAAATGAAAGCCATACTTTTTAAATGCTTTAACTATATTTCCTTCTTTTTCTGTATCTTTTTAATAAAAGGTTAAAATAATGTTTAATGGTGTGTTTGCCCTGGTACTAAGCAGCCTGAGGTGTCTGTGTACCAAACCCTGATCCTTGTTTAACATTGTTATTTAATGTTAACACTGTTGATTCTTTGGGCTCATCTAAATTAATACAACTCTGCTCACCTGAGAAAGATGGTTTTCCTTTAGATTTCTGCAAATATTGTCTGAAGGTGATAGAAATCCTTAAATGTCCGTGCTGAAGCAACAGAAAAGGGCACTTTCCCTCATCACTCATAGAGCAGTTCTGATTATTCTGAAATTATTCTGCTGATATTAGCTGAATATCTATTTAAACTGTCACGTTTTGCACGTCATAGATCCTTGGCTAGCAAAAACCAGAATCTATTCACAGTTTACCAGGGTTGGAAGGTCAGCTCCTCAGTGATTAAATTATTTCAGTTTAGCACTGAAAATATTTTTTAGCTCCAGTCAGGAGCTTCCCATGTTTTAAGATTGAGAACCTCTGATATTCCAACCAAAGCAGCTTTCATAATAAAGAGATTGATTAGGGATGTCCAAATTGATTAGTAAGCAATTCTTTCTCCATCCATCTCATGTAAACCTTGTTCTAGACTCAAATGAAATCCTTTTTCAGATTATGAAAGTTTCCTTGCTTTTTTTCACACTAGTATTTTATGTACCTCTGCACTTCTGAATTTCAGGAGAAACTAGTCTCATGACACTGCTGGCCTAACAAAAAGTGAGTAATTATGGAACGCTAAGAAGGCCTGTTCTTGTGAGATATAAGGTATCTGTACACTTCAAGCTGGATGTGCAACTTCCAGCTTGAGGAGACATACCTATGCTAGCTCTGATCAAGTTCGCATGCTAAAAATAGAAGTGTAGCTGCAGTGACACAAGCAGTAGGAGGTGCTAGCCACCCAAGTATGTACCTAGGGTCTCAGATGAGATCGCCCTTGGGGCGGCTGACCCCTTGCACCATGGTGGCTACACTTCTATTTTCAGTGCACTAGTTTAATCAGAGCTAGAGCTGGTATGGCTACCTGAGATCGAAATCACACCTCCCAGCTCAAAGTGTAGACATCCCTACAGACCCACACAAGCATAAGGGAATTTGGTGGTTACACATACTCTGAATTTTTCAAACTTTTCCCATCAGCCCTTAGACCTTCTGCTTTGATCCTGGCATATCTTGCAGGATAAATAGGGCCAGATCATTTCCAAGATGAGTCCAGGCATTGGTGATATAGTGGGTGTTGCTCTTTCTGTCTAAAGTATCCGTACTTTATGCCTCTGCATGGGATTAGAGGACACTGAGGTGGTGTTTTTCAGGTTAGATATTCAACTGAGCTTCTGGAAGCTTGTAGTCATTTACAGATGGCATGTGACCTGTCATAAGAATTAAACTGCTAACCATGGTCATTTAAATTACATGCTTCCTAACTAAACTCATGTTGCAGTTATTGTCTCCTCTCTTTAAACAAATATGTACCTTTTCATATTAAATTTTCTGGCAGCTCACAGATCGTCTTACTGCAAATTCATGGGTCTAAGAATTAGGAGCTCTGGGCTCTAGTCCTGGCTCATTCTCTAACAGGCCGTGACCCTTTGACTATGCCACTTAGTTTCTTTGTGCCTCAATTTCCTTATGTGTAAAATGAGAATAGTAAAACATGCGTATCATAAAAGGATTGAGACACTTTAATTCATTGATATTTATGAAGTATGTTAAGATTCTTGAATGAGAAGTACTATACAAGTGCAAAGTGTCTATATAATAAGATTCTGGGAATGTCACACTGTCTGTGTGTCACTCTGAAGCCTAGAATGTCTTGAGTCAGTGTGACACAATGGAAGCAGCTACAAGCATGGTTGAGAAATGTCTTTGTTTAGTCTATCAGCAGGTGCAGTCATCACTGGGCTTTGCACTCTAGTACCATCCAATTCTTAAGTTCTCAGCCTTTTTGACTTTACAAATTACACCAGTGTAGTGTACAGCTACAGTAAGGCACGTATCTAGGCCATGCCAAGAGTCCTAGAGCACTGTGATATCAGTGATAGCTCAAGCAATCACCAACTTGACTCCATAACTAATTTGCATGCAACAATTTCATTGGTTGTATGAGGAAGACTGCATAGATGATGGATGAATTGGCCCAACTGCCATGCAGGTGCAACAGCAACTCTTTCAGCTAAATGTAAAAAAAAAAATAACAGTCAAAAACATTGCCCCCATATTCTTTAACACTCTTTACCAGACTATAATGCCTACAAACACAGGCCCTGATTTAAGAAGGGATCCCTATTCAGTAAAACCTAAACATTTAAAAGGTTGTATTTCTTTTACTGCATGGGTGGAGAAGGAGAAAATTAAAGCTAGAGAGGGACCTATATCCCGTTCCGCACCTCCAGTATTTGAGAAACTTCTGGACCAGATGTGAACTTCGTGGCTCAGGCTCCAATTAAAACTTGTCTCATGTGCAGGAGGAATTCTCACAGGGCAGCTACATAGACCAGAGATGTCTGAATGAGGTGAAAGGTCAGATAAGTGAATTGTTATGTAAAAAAAGATGAAACAAAATGTTAAAAGAGAAGGTGCATGATTTAAATAAAACAGATTTTTCTTTAACTTCATTGATGCATGAGGAGGGCTCTAGGCTTTAATTCCCATTATCTGGGATAATTCTGTTAACTAAAATGTACCTTTCAGAATTGTATGGTGAAATCCTGGCCCCTTTGAAATTAGTGGGGAAACTCCCACTGATTTCAATGGACTCAGGATTTCACCCATCCACTGTATAAAAAAAAAGGGGGGGGAATAAAAACTATAGATAAATATAGAATGGGAGGAAATAAAGATGTTAATGATGTAGAAAGCTTCCCCTGCTGGGACTTGGATGTGAGGACTGACTGACATGGTTTTTGTAAGGCTATGGGGGTCTCAAAGTGAGTGACCTTTTGAAAATGCTGAACTATTTCATTGCAGTAATGCATATTGATTTCTTTTGCCCTTGTTCTACACATCTGATACACCAAGTTGTAAAGATCAATACAAATTGTTGAGAATCAGTGGGCAAATACCCTGTTTCCCCGAAAGTAAGACATCCCCCGAAAATAAGACCTACTTCCAGTTTTGCCTCTCGCTGTAATATAAGGCATCCCCCCGAAAATAAGACCTCCCCGATAATAAGGCCACCCCGGAATATAAGGCCCCGAAGCTCCAAGAAAAATAAGACCTCCCCTGAAAATAAGACCTAGCGCATCTTTGGGAGCAAAAATTAATATAAGACACTGTCTTATTTTCGGGGAAACAGGGTATTTTCCTAGTTCAGCGTATGTACCTTTTTAATATACAGTCTCCATTTAAAAAAAATTTCTCTAGGTACTGTATCTTGGTTATTGGGTTGTATAATTTGCTGGTTAACCTGTGTATTTCATTGATTTATCTTCATGCTTTTCAAGTCAAATGCTTTCCTCCTTTCTTGATTGAGTTAAATAATTTGTTCTGATTTATAGCTGATTTTGTAACATATTCTAGAAGATGTG